ATTTATAAGAAGCCATAGTCTGATTCAAGCACATACATTCTATAGCAAAGGAAACCAAGGCCCATAGGGTTGAAGTGGCTTGTCTATGATCACATAGCTACTAAGTGATAAAACTGAAATGCTAACTCATGTCTTCTGATTCTAAGTCCCCATCTCATTGAACTATTTAACTAAGCTTCATCAGTTAAAAAAAATGAATCAATCAAAACATATTTATTAAGTGTATAGTATTGGCAAGGCACGGTGCTAGGTATGAGAGAAACAAATAGAGAAATAAGGCAGGCATTTAAACTTGTAGAGCTTATATTTTACAAGGCCTAGACAACATATTCTCAAGTAAGTAAATATACAATACATAAAGAGTATCAGTGATTTGAGGGCTGGGAAGGCTTAGGAATAAGGAATAAAGTGATCAAATATATGGAGGCAGGGAAACACAAGAAGTGTCAGTTATTGGAAGCTAGAATGGCTCAGCACAGGCCCAGACCCAGCTGATCTCTCCCAACATTCCCTTCTAAAAAAAATTTTAAAGTAACAATACAAACCAAATTTTTGGAACAGCAGAGACAACAAAGGGTCAGAAGGAAATATTTTTTCAACCTAAGACAATTAGGAGGTCAGCAGGAGAGGTGGGTGACCCTGGGGTGGACAGAGGTCCAGGATACAGCACGAGCATCAGTAGTATGACTTGGAGGTGGCCATGACAGCAACGGCAGCTTCAGGAGCTCTCAATCCAGGAATGGTAAAATGGTCAGAGAACTAGTCAGAAAGAGATTACAGGGGACCCTTTGCTGGCACTGATAGGCAACTTTACTGCCCATAAGCAGTTTAAGGTCATAATTCCAGGAGAAAGAGGAGCACTAGTACAAGGGAACAGGGGCTCTGGTTACAGTTCCAAGGTGGAGAGGAGTGCCAGCACTTGTAGCTAAGGGCCTTGTAAGTAGCACTTGTAAGCAGAGGGCCTGGACATGGTTCCAAGGCCAAGAGAAGCACTAGTACTTGCAGCTGCAGGGGAGCAGGGACCATTCCTTGGTAAAGACCAGAATGCAGATCAGGAGAACAATGATCACATGTCTCCAGATAGCATCACCTTGGAAGCACTAAAAAACTTGAACAGCCCCATAGCTAGCTCTGAAAATAGCAGCATAAAAAAGCCTGAAGCTTGGGACGATCCCTCCCCACTCCTAAATGAGCAGAGCCCAACCTTAACATAAAGTTCAAGTCAATAGGCTGGAAAAGGGGCAAATAACCAAAACAAGTGATCATAAAAAGCTGCTATGGCGACAGGGAAGATCAAGCTATAAACTGAAAATTCAACAATGTGAAAAAGGCTACAAGTAAAGCCTCAAAAAAAATTCTAACTGGACCCAAGGCCAGCAGATATTCCTGGAAGAGTTAAAGGAAGATATGAGTGATAGAGGAAAAAAAAATCAGAAATGAGAGTGATGCAAGCAAATTATTAAAAGAGAATTAACAACTTGTTAAGAGACAGAAAAAATACTGAAGAAAATAGCACCTTAAAAAAGATAATTGCCCTAATAGTAAAAGAGGTGAAAAAAAATCACTGAAGAAATAAACTCCTTTAAAAGCAGAATAGGCCAAGTGGAAAAAGAGGCACAAAATCTCACTGAAGAAAATAATTCCTTAAAAATTAGAATTGGGCAACTGGAAACTAACGACTCTATGGGACTTGAAGAAACAATAAAACAAAGTCAAAAAATAATTTAAAAAGATAGAAGAAAAATTGAAATATCTCTCTGGAAAAACAACTACCCTGGAAAATAGATCAAGGAGAGATAATTTAAGAATTAGTGGACTACCTGAAAGCCATCCTCAAAAAGGGCCTAGACACCATCTTTCAAGAATTTATAAAGGAAAATTTCCCCAATATTTTAGATCCAGAGAGTAAAGCAGAAATCAAAAGAATCCACCAATCACCTCTTGAAAGAGATCCCAAAATGAAAGCTACCAGTCTTTTATAGCTAAATTCCAGTGCTCTGAGGTTAAGGAGAAAATACTTTAACCAGCCCAAAAGAAAAAAAATCAAATATCATGGAGGTACAGTTGAGGTCACACAAGATTTAGGAGCTTCCATGTTAAAGGACCAGAGAGCTTGGGATATGATAGTCCAGAGGGCAAAGAAGCTAGGATTACAACCAAGGACAATTTACCCAGCAAAACTGAATATAATCCTTCAGGGGGAAAAATAGATACTTAATGAAATATAAGATTTCTAGGCATGCCTGATGAAAAGATCAGAACTAAATAGAAAATTTGACATTCAAATAGAAAACTCAAGAGAAGCATAAAAAGTTAAACATGAAAGAGTTAAACTCTTTACATTCCTGTGTAATAAGATTATCTTATGGAAGATCATTGTGCACATTAATAGCAATGTTGTATCAACTGTGAAATACTTGGCTACTCTGATCAATGCAAGACAGTTTTCATCACAATGATGAAAAATGCTATCCACATCTAAAGAGAGAACCAATAAACTCTGGATGAAAAAAAAAATCATCAATTATCCTTGATCAAAATTTAAGAACTAAACAGTCTTTTCCCAAGTATTTATAAGTACACATGGATTTTATATAGTTATACAAATGGCTAGAAGGTGAAAATAAAATAAAATCTCAATGGATTTATTATTTGTTGATAAACAAGACATTTGACTTAGTAGTAGTCAATATATACCCTAAAGACAGTCCCTTAACAAAAAATTTGTCATGCAGATAATAATATCATATATGATTTCTAGATAGAAGGTGCCATGGATATTTTTTTCCAACAAACCTCTAATTAGAAATGTGAAATAAGGCAAACACACACACACACACACACACACACACACACACAACTATGCCGTCTAAACATGCTTAGCACTGGTATTGAAGCTATAACATACCAGGTCAAAATGGAAAAAGGACTTACCCTGAATAGGAATTCTGCTAACTAAATATTCCTGAACATTAGGTTGAAATGAGACTAAGGACATTAAAAGCTGCCCTCAATTAAATCTATTCAATCAAATGAGTTCAACCTAAAAATCAACACAAGAAAAAACAAAATGGATAAGAAATGTTTATTGCTCATATTATGACTTAGAGTTGGCTGGCCAGTCTGCTAAGTTAGTATATTGATACATATATAGGGTATAGTCATTGCAAATGGACTGTGATTTGGACCAAAATTCAAAGTGACTGGCGAGAAAAGACCAGATTGCATCTTAAAAATCTGGCAGTATTTTTGGATGATCACCAACTTACCCTTGATGTCCAAAACTGTTATTTTATATACATACATACATACATACATACATACATACATACATACATACACACACACACACACATAATATCATGAATTTCAGAACATGACAACCTCTAAAGATTCAAAGTGGTAGATGACCCAGATGACCATGGGGAGAATAAGGAAGATACAAATAGAGGGGAATGTATCTCTAACAATTATCTCTATTCAAGAAGTGACAGGAGGGGTATGTATATAAAGTATGTAAAGCATTCTTTTAACTTTTAAAATACTGTGTAAATGTGAGAGATTACAAATGTACATTATTAGAAAAGGATGTAGGCAGATCATGTACTAACAAAAAGAGTTCACAGATCAATGACCTGAGGGTAACAGCATCATTCATACACTGTAATAAGATAAAGAGGAAGGCCTCCAGTATTTTAGAAAGATTGGTGGAGGTTCCATGAGAAAACTGGAACAAAATCACACAGAATGAGAAAGTACAGGTGAGTTTTGATCTGTACTGTACTGATGAGGTGGAAGAATCACTATATTTATGAAGTCAAAGACAATGGAATAGAGAAGCATTCATAGATATATCTACTGTTATTACCATATTGTAACAGGATATATGAGCATTAAATATTAATCACCACTAAAACATTTCATTAGAAATTCTCACATTTACCAAAAGTATATATCTTAGCAAATTTATGGTAGCCATTTTATTAGTATTCATTAATGATTTTAATAGTATTAATGTTTTATTGAATAATAATTATTATCAGAATTTCAAATATGATATTCACTTGGTCCCAGAAGATGTAGCTTAAGAACTTAGTAAGGAAAAAGCATCTTAAAAAGTAGACTACCAAAGGTCAGTCTGTATTATATAAAGAATCTATTTATCTATTTTAGAAATAGATCAAGAAGGGGAGCTGCATGAATTCCTCTTTGTCTTTTGCTTATATGTAGACATCATAGGCATTTCTAAGATTTCTTATGATATCTTGTCAACCATCCAAATATAATTTGGGACAGCATAATATCTATTTCAAAGGCTATAAATCAGAAATTTCTATGGACATTTTACAGAAAGACAGACAGATCAACTTCGATGTAAAACCTTGGAAGGGGTGCAATCTGTGAGTTGAAGCAATGTCCATCATAATGAGATAACCCACCCATAAAATTATGAAAACCACAAGTAAGGTTTAGATCGGCTATTAAAATTAAAACACCTAGAATACATTCTCCTTACTTATTGCCCTATCTTCCTTCAAAACTTATCTCTAATACCACCTCTGATGTGTGGACTTTTCTGATCCCTGCCCCCATCCACTATAGTCATTCATAATATCTTATATTTACTTTGTAAATATATTCCATTTAATATACGTACATACATTTGCCCCCCTCCAACAGGCTATAATACTCTTGAAGAAAGGGATTTGGGGGTGTTATTTTGCTTTGTCTTAATAACCTTAATGCATAGCTGCTCAGTGTCTTAGACATTGTAGTCGCTTATTAAATTCAGAGAGTGATAGTATAATAGGATCCACCTTTTCAGAAGTATTCAGCTATGCCAAAATTTGATGTACCCATAAAAAAATAGCCCCAAAGGTGCCTGATTGAAATCTGCCTTCTGGCTGGTAGAGCCAACACCATTGCTTTAAGAAGGTATGCCCAAATCACAGAAAGCAAGAGAATGGAATTTTCTCATGCCTATTTCCTAAAGTACTCACTTGTTTGGCAATCTGCCGAGCAAGGACGTCCATCCTTGAGCCTGATTCAGATATCATTTTAGCTGCATAAATCACATCAGTTGTGTGCTTCAGTGGGCCTCTGCCCCTAGAAATAGAGAGAAGCATAGTGGTTACGCTTACTTGATACACAGGAACAAATCATACATCAAAGATCATTGATCTCAGTCCTCAGGCAACTCATTCCTCTAATGCAGATGACAGCCCATTTTTAGCAGTCAATGCATTAAAAAAAAAAGATGTGGAATATAATCAGGAAGATCAAATGGACCAAGGAAATTTCATTCCATCATTTGTAATGAAATAATTCAATCTGGGCAGGGATTATTCCAATTTGTTTTGTTATCCCTAGAACCTTGCACAATGCCCCTAGGATATAAATAGTAGTTGAAATAAATGATTTTGTGTAGTTGAATTCAATTCTACAAACATTACTAATTGTGTATTATTTTTCAAAAACTATGCTAAGAACCAAGGATACAATGAGAAAAAAAATGTCCCTGTCCTTAAGAAGCTTACATTTACTGGGTGGAAACAACTTATATATACATAAATAGTAAAGAGCCAAAAATACAACCTGTGTTGCTAGAGGATTTGACCTGTGACTTATTGCTCATGTACCCATGGATAAGTCACTTTTTATTTCCCCAGGCCTCAGTTTCTTCATTTATGAAATGAAAGTTTGGATTTTATGACTTCATTTTTATCTCTAGATATATGATACTTGTGATTCTAAATAAATACAAAATAGTTTGTAAGGGGAAGCACTTATGAGAGGGCAATTGGCAGAATATTTTTTTTCTTTAAAGAGGTGGCCCATTAGCTGAGTTTTGAAAAAGAAAGTAGAGATTCAAAGAGAGAGGAATTAGGAAGAAGAACATTCCAGGTATGGAGCCATGACCTATAAAAAGGCATGGAAATAGAGATGGAATATCACATATGATGAGCAGCAAACAGAACAGCTTTCCTGGAATGAGAAACCCGTAATAGTGGATTGTAAGTATAATTACTCTGAATATAGTTGGAGTTATATTGTGAAGGGCTTTAAATGCCATAGAGGATTTTTTTTCTTTTCTTTATTTGTTTTGATGCTGAAGGTGATGAGGAGCCAATGAAGGTTCTTGAGTAGAAGAGTGACATGATAAGATCAAATATAAGTTCAATCCATTAGAAAAGTTTCAAGAACTCCGTGACCAGGAGAAAAGGAAATAACATTTCAATTCAACAGAACACACACACACACACACACACACACACACACACTCACATACATACACACACTCACATACACACACACACTCACATACATACACACACATACATACACACACACACTCACATACACACACACACTCACATACACACACACACTCACATACATACACACACTCACATACATACACACACATACATACACACACACTCACATACACACACATACACACACACTCACACACACACATACACACACTCACATACACACACACACACTCACACACACACACACACATTTTTCAAAATTTGCTATATGTTCAAGGAATCATGCTAAGCAAGAAGTGTGCTGGGCAAACATCAATGTCCCCATCTTAAATGCAAAATTGAAATTAGATGAGTCATAGAATATATTCAGATCACTTTGCTATACATAGCTGTTATACTGTTCATCTTTGCATTACCATTTTCCATTCAAGTTTTTTTAATTCAACAATAATCCAAACCAGTGAGAATTTATTAGCATCTTCTATGTGCAAGACACTGTGCTAGGTAATAAGGTCCTCACCACCAAGAAGTCTACATTTTTCTAGTAAGATGCAATAGGTGAACAAAAACCAAATACAAAATGATGTGTGGAAGGTGAAAAGCTCCAATACCTTGGGTGGAAGGAGAATGAGGGAAGGCTTTGGGTTAGTCATTTCACAACATCTGAATCTCATAAACTAAGGATTATAATTTGTGGAAATAAGGAAGGAGACCATTTAAGGTAACCTGGGATTCAGCCTGTACATAGCTAAAAGAAATGTGGAATGGCATATTAAATTTGAAGAATGGCTAGTCAACCAGTGTTGGATGAAATGTAGACTGTTTGAGGGCAATAATGTGAAATAAGAATGAAATTGTAGATAGGAAACAAGTATTTATTAAGCACTTACTATGTGCCAGACACTGTGCTAAACACTTCACCAATATCTCCATTTATCCACACAACATTAAAGATAGATGCTATTACTATCCCCGTTTTATAATTGAAGAAATTAAGGTAGACAGAAGTTAAGATACTAGCCCAAGGGACACACAGTCAGTAAGTGTCCGAGGTCAGACTGAAACACAGATTTTCCTAGCTCCAAATCCAGTTCTCTACCATTTGCACCAGCTAGCAGCCCAAGTACTGAAGGCTTTAAATGCCATGTTCAGTCAGTTGGTCAATAACCATTTATTATGCGCCCTCACTGTTGTGTGTTTGAGACACAAAGAAAGGGGAAAATCACTTTGCTCTCATGGATAATTCTTTCAAATGAGGATCGTGTAAACTTATAGGTACATATAAGATACTTGCAGAGGATATAGAAGGTTAAGCCAAAGTAGAAGCCTTTACTCACTGGAGGACTGGGGAAGGGTTAAAATCTCTAGAAATGTGGCATTTGATCTGCCATGAAACAAACCAGTGACTCTGAAAGTTGGAGGTGAGCTCATGTTGTATCCTAGAGGCATAAGGGAGTCATTGAAGAGTTTTGAGTAGGTTAGTGACATGGCCATACAATATTTAGCAAAGATTATTTTAGCACTATGTGGATTGAAAACAAGGAGAGGAAGAGGAGAGAGAGGGGGAGAAAATTTAAAACTCAAAATCTTATGGAAGTGAATGTTCAAAACTAAAAATAAATTATCTGAAAAAAAAAAGAAGGCAAGGAGAAAAGTTATGATGTGGCACATTAGTGGGGCTGGTACATCAATTCAGAGTATTCCATGATATAAATAAATTTGTCATAGGGTCAATAGGCTTTGCTTAAATAGAAGTAGGAGTGATGAAGAAATGGAAAATTATAAAGCATGGGTAATCCAAGACTCCTAGGAACTGTCTTAGATGTTGGGAGGATATGAAAAGGGGAGACCCTGAGTACCCAGGATGTATGCATCAAGAGGAAGGAAGCAGGATTAAGAAGGATTCTGTCTCTTTTCCCATATTGCCTTGGACTAGTTAGACTTGTCAATAGCCCAGTTATATATTCATTTATGTAAATGTCTGCTTGGATTTGCTTCTGTAGAAATATCTGACAAGGATGAAGAGACTTCCTGTTTGTGAGAAAAGTCAGGGAAGATTTCTATAATGCTTGGCATCTATGTAGAAGGTTATCCAACTGAATAGCTGTTGTAGAGAAGTTAGTTTGGGGGCTGGCCCATGGAATCTACAAAGGCATGTTTTACCTCCCAGCTATCCTCAATTTTTAGAGAGACATACATAACAAAGGCAGACACCAGTGTGGACTAATAAGATGGATAACATGACCTTGCCTCTTTAACTTAGCTTATATATAGGTTCAAATATATTTGCAAGTTAGTCCTGAGATCCTGGTAAGCTTTCTAGCTCAACCTTCATGGTGCTTTTGTGGAATTTCTATGGGAGATTTACCTGAAATGGGTTGTGGTGGAATAGGATTGTATAAGGAGTTAATGATACCCGAGGAATTTATAACCCTAAATAAGGTCACGGAAAGTTGTCTAAGACATCCAACTGAAATTCAGTTTCAGATATGAGAGTTAAAAAAAAAAACTTAATCTTGACCTGAGAGCATTGAAGCTGAATTTCATCTGGCTATGGTCATTCATAGGCTAAATCTTGTCTAAAGGGTTAGCACACTGGCCTTAGAAAAGAAAAAAATAATAATCACTATATCTTAGTAGAAAGAAGCTAAGATAACCAGCAGGTAGCCACAAAAAGTTATGCCCAGTATTGATATCATATAGAAGTATGGTGACCAACCAAGTAACCCTGAAAAACTATGAGACCAGAAGTCATCCCCAACAAGTGCTGTGAAGCCAGCAGTAGCCAAAAGACCAGGGAAGAGATGCTTAGCAGAGACAACTTCACATATGGTAATGAAAACATAATGTCCAAATAACAGAATAGAGTACTATGATGACATTATCAGAGAAGATCATCAATCCTGATATGTTTGCCTTAAAGATATGTGTTCCCTACATATGTATCCTTCATGAAAACATTCTACTCACACAGGTTACTTCTGTCTTTGGTCAGCTTTCCTGGCTACTTCCTTACCCTGTATGTCTGCCATCCATGAATGGTTCCTGGTCAATCAATCAATTGGCAAGGATGTAATAAATGTCTACTATTTACCAGGAACTATGTTATATTCTAGGGAGGGGTACAAATATAAAAAAATGGAGCAATGGAAATATATCCCAATGAGGGGAGTAAGTGTATATTTATGCATATACAGAATATGTAGGAGAGCTGGTTGGCACAGCAGAAAGATTGCTGGCCTTGGAGTCAAGAAGACCTGAGATCTGACACCTAACAGTTACTAGGTGTATGACCCTGGGCAAGTCATTTAACTTCTTTTGCCTCGGTTCCCTCAATTGTAAAAGGGAGATCATAACAGCTACCTTCATCTCAGGATTGTCATAAGAAACACATGATATGATATTTGTAAAGGGCTTGGCAAATTTAAAGCACTAGATAAATGCTAGTTATCATTATCATTATTATTATTATTATTATTATTATATAAAGATAATAAATGAGAAGTAGCAAGGGAGAGCATTGTAGTGATAGAGATTAGACAAAGCTTCACATAGAACTTAATGCTTGTGCTGGACCTTGAAGGAAGAGAGGGATTGAATGAGGTTGCAACATGCTCTGTATTTACGTGTATTCAATGTGCATCACCAGGTAGACCCTTCATATTTGGCACATATATCACTTCTTCTATTGGTGGTGTGGAATTTTGTGGAGCATCGTACCCCACATGGGCAAGGGTGGGAGATTTTCTTGTCACTTTCTTTTTTCTTGGCTAAGGAATTTGATGGAATGCTATGATTTTTGTTTGAATTAGTACATCCACTAATTGG